GGCAACAGTTGCAGTCCATCTTCCGTCATGCAGGAACGCCATCCTCCTCCTACCTCTGCAGCTGGCTGGTGCCAGTCAGCTTGGGACACTTGTCTGCGCTCGTGGCCTTGACGTACACCTGGTGTCTCATATCGGAAGTATTTAAAGTTTGAACCCATCATTGTTCTCTTTTACCTCTCGCGTGTAATCACACCAGTGAAACACGTTCCACGTTTCTGTAGCTTGTACTTTATTGATCTTTTCCTAAACATCTCTGAAAGAAAAAGCTGACCTTGGTAAGTGAACCAACTGCCTCTGTCAGCTTAAAACAATGTACTTGCAGGTGAGCAAATTAGGCTGCTCTAAATCTCCTTAAATTACTTTTGTAATAAGATAAATGGTGCCACATTAGCAATGCATGAATTTTTTTTTTACAGCTTTACAGGACAAAAATCTAGGATAGTTACTCAGTAGCACTTCAAAATTTAAGCTGCTTTCTAATTCATGGCCTTTACCCAAAAAATAATTTTTTCTAAATTATTTATAATGCCTATAAAATCCTTACTCAACAGAAGAGTATCACCCCAGCTGCGAGCCCACCATATGTTTCATTAGCTTTAATTTGACTCGGCTCATAATGCTCTCATTCCTGTTGAGCCTGTCGGGTTTCTAAGGAGACTCACCCTGATGAGAATCCAGTAGCAGCTTTTCTTTCTGGAGAGTAAATCCGAGTTTCCTTCTACCTCAGTGACTGCTCACTGCCGTTTCCAGACCCAGAAGGGCTGCTATGTCCCATGATATATGCTTAAAAGGAAAGGCCTGTTCTGTCCAGAAGATTCTGTTTGTGCCTGTACCATCTTTCAGAGCAAGGCTCAAAGCAGTGGATTTGGTTTTGTTTTTTTTTTTAAATATGTTCAAGATGAGTGTTTATTTCAAGGGGATGGAATGAAGATGCTGGTTTAACCTTCTGTTGATTGGTGGCAATTTCTTTGGAAAATAGGAATTTGACAAAATGCAGTAGTAGTGTGTACAGCTTGAACAGAAACAAGTAATATATGTCATGGTATGAAAGAGATTCATTCAGCTCTAGACATGCTCGTGCACCAGCAGAATACCCTGTGTGTAAAGTGATGAACTCGGGATTTCTTGTTTTAATACAGGTTGGATTGGTTGTAATACCCGATAGCACAGCTGGATCTGTTCTATGTGCCATAAATAAGCTCTTGGATCAAGCTTGCATCCTCAGTGAAAACCTGCACAAGTTCTTGGCCTCTTGTTGCTACAGTCTTCTGTACTTCCTGCTAACCTTAGACAAAGAGGATGCAGAACATGTACAGAAAAGGTAATGCTGCTTTTCTTACCGTGTTACTGGTCTCCGCCTTTGTTCCCACAAGTATTTATTGAGGTAAAATGAAAGGAGACCCTCCCCGCATCCCCCCCCCCATTTATTTTGCTGTCTTTTGCTCTGACTTCAAAACAGTGCTGGGATTTAAGAAAAACAACTGCAAAGTTAGATGGAATTATTTAAAACAATAACTGAAGGAGGTTTCATCTCAAATTGTTCTGGTTAGACATCAGATCCATCCTGACCTGAGAAAGGTGGATAGTTACGCCTCCTTAATCTTTAGCTTTAACCTCTAGGTGCATTAGGTACATTGGAAAGCAACATGCAAAGGATTTGGCTTTATATGCTTGTACTCTTAACTGACTTGATATCCCAGCTTTAGCAAAACTTCTCAGGCATAGTTTTAATAGATTGTAAACCCATTTTATTTAAAAAACCCAAAAGCTACAGATACCAGATTTAAATAAATTTATTTACCTGCATAACAGAAATGTCTTTGAACAGTTTAAACTTCAGATTTTCCCCGTAACTGTTCCATGTACAGGAAGGTTGTTCAAAGCTTACTTGAAGTTTAGACGTTTTTAAAGCCGGAGTCGTCCTTCACTTAATGTGTTTAATGACTTGAATGTCACAAAAAGCTGATGCCATTGTTTGATTTCTTACGAGTCTTCAATAAAGATTCAGGTGTACCTGAACAGTGACTGAAACCAAAACCGCTCCCCAGCTGCATCAAGGCAAAATTACACTGTGTAAGAACTTCAGCAACATTTGTAGCTCCAGGGCAGGGCCTGAAATTTTTTCCAGTGCTGTATATAATTTTAGAATCTATTCAAGTTTAGTGTTTTCTAGTACAAATTTTCTGCTTTGGCACTAATTATGGTGAAGGCAGTTGGTGTGATTGCATTCCCAGAGGCACGTTTCCGTATACAGGTATGAGGTTAATTCACAGGAGCACACTTGAAAAATATGTGTCCCCGATCATTCCAATTTTTGTTCTCTTTTCCTTTCAGGGATATGCTGTGGGGATCATGTATCTCTGCATTAGCACTCCTGCCACGATTACTGAGACTGATGCTGCAGAGTCTGCAAGTGAGCAGGATCTGTCGGGAAGAACTGCCCGTTGTTGCTCAGTTGCTCCGCTTACTAATGCAACACGGTCAGCTCAGGAGCCATATGATCACAAACGAATTTCTGGTGCAACAGATTATCAAGGACATCATGGTAGGAAACTTCTTGTCGTTTCCCAGAGACTATAAGGACGTACTTGATGCTTATGTTTAAAAATTAAAACCCCTGATGTTTAGCAAAAGATAAGTTTGTCTTTCACTTGTCCTGGAAGTGCAGGCTGTGTAGCAGGCACCTGCTTGTCTGAGCTCCTGTGGTCATTGCACAGGTGAGACAGCTCTGAAGTTCAGCCTGCACCCAGTCCAGCAGCCCTGGGCAACAGTTGGACTTCCTAACAGCACGCACTGGAAGCGGAGTACCTACATAGCCTGTCTGAGGGAGAGCTGTCCCGAAATAAGAAACTAGTTCTTCCTGTTTGTTGGAGCAGTGGTATATAGGTGTATGGAGATGTCATTAAATCAGACAAACTCTTAAATACACTTTCTCCCAGAAATCGCAAACCCCAGCACCTCCATTCACATGGCTACGTTCCAGGGCTTTTGAGGCTACTACAACTGCTTCTCTCTTCAGGAAAACCCCTGAAACGGCCTTCACACACAACTCTTACTAGTGTTGAGTGCAGAAAGTTTGTGCAGCGCAGAGGTTTGAATAAGTAAGCGGCACGTATCCATCAGTAGCTTTTTAAAAGGTCTGTTACCAGAAACATAACCCCAGAGGTGGCAAAGCAGACTTGCACAGAGTATTGTGCAAGTTCTCTGGCAGAGAATGGCATGGCTGGTTTTCTGTGGTGTTGAAAACAGCTCAGCCTGGTCCTGTCACGTTTAACTGCGAGTGGGTGTGTGTGGTGGCACTGGGCTTTTTAACCACTCGTGAATGCCAAGGAGAGTGAGTTGCTGGACTATGGGCTGCGTGGGTCTGTTGGTAGCAGTTCTGTAGACTGGGGTGTTGAGCTCTCCTGCTTCAGTAGAGCCACGCTCATTTGCATTTTAATTGACTATAAATTGCAGAATTGGAAAGTAAGCAAGCCTCTGTAATTAAGAGTAAGGAAATCACATCTGGTGTAATTTGCACACTTTGTAATGTAACACCAACTTAGTGTACCAAGTAGTAACACTTCATTATTTTGGCTTCCACACACTATGTTGAAATGCACAAAAACGAGAAGAGATGAGCAGTGTCGCTGTGTGCAGGTGCACAAGGCCATCTCGTGCCTTTAATAACCGCGCACCTGAGTAACCGTAAACACAAAGCGAAGCTTTGCAAGTGCTGTCTGTGAAATGGAGTTTTACCTTTTTTCCCCTTCTTTCTAGACACTGAAGAGTGGTGAAGTTCAAGAGCAGTGGCTAACAGACCTCCACTACTGTTTCAACATCTACCTTGCCTCTCACCCCCAGGGACCCGGCCCCATGAACGCGGTATATTAAAGAGGTCGAACTGCATTTACTGTAAAGCATTTACTTCTATTTAGTTTTGAATGGAAGATGTTGAAACAAAGCTTGTCCATTTTTTTGTAAGTGAAACAGAATAAAAATTTTACAGAGAACTGCACACCTCTATTGCCTTTCTTTTCAAGCAAGTTAACATTACTGGAAGGTGGTTTACCAGACGTGGTGACCACAGGGAGGTATGTTAAAGAAAATCCAGTCTCCTTGGAGCTTAAGTGCTTGCAGAGAAACGGACTTACACTGACTCCAGTTATCTGTTATTTCAAAGCATCATAGTAATGAAAAAAAAAACCAATTATGTAATACAACTAGAAGAAAAAATAGAAAACAATGTACTTTGATACTAGAGTAACACTTTTTTATTTTTGCGGAGTTCATATCTTTAAATAGTTTGTGCAAGGTAAATACTGTACACTGGCAGCTCCAAAGCCATCATAAGGACCACTTTTCTTCTCGAATAAGTCCCATCTTTTCTTGCTTTCTGTAGAAACTCTTCTTGTGCATGTATAAAAATAGTTATTAATATGGAAAAAAATAGTGATAACTCCAAAGGGTAGAAAACAGTTTTCATAAGCTGTGGAAAGCAATGTATTTACTGAGTGTTTTTTGTCAACATCTCTACCTTTCCTTCCAAATCCAAACAAAGCTAAGAAACAATTGTTTCTTCAGTATGGAAGTGGAGCATGAAGGCTGTTCTTTGTTCCTGTTGAGATTTTGAAATACATTTAATAAATGTGAGGTGAAATCAATCAGCCATCTTTGAGAACTATTACATCTTCAGTACAGTTTCCCTCTCTTTTGAAACTGCTTTGATGAACACATTGTAAATTCCTGCTTTCGACAATGGAAAACTTTGGGAGCCCATGCAACTCTAATGCTGGGCTTAGTGCTTCATTAAATAAATAGTTGCATTTAAAAAGCTAATTTGTACACAAATTAAAATGCATCCAACTCCTTAGAACTCTGCTTGGCATGTAATGCTGAGATAATTAATACAAAACTGAAAACATGTTCAAGTTTAGTATGTTGTAGATGACTTGTATGTTTTATGAAAGACAACAGTTGTACCAAGGTGTGCTCTTCAAATTCCAAACATTCAGTTTTGCTTAGTGCTTGAGTCTTGTATTTTTTGATTTTGCAGCAGTGGTTGGTCTCAGGTTGTATGAAAATTGCTTTGATTTTCCCATGTTCTCCAGCAAATTAGCACACTGTAGGTTGCTTACTGTAAAAGAAGAAAAGATGCGTAACTAGTGGATAAAAAGAAGTTTTAGCTACCCTGGGTTCTAATTTCATAAACAACGAGTCTTCCAGGAAAAGAACATGCCTTTTTCCCGACACCTCACTGTCGTTATCTGTAAATAGAGTTCCGTTTCTGTGGCACTCAGTACAACCTACACAAAATGCTACTGCGCAGGTTTAACGCAGTCTGTAATGATGGCGCGTAATTTGAGGTTTCCCCTCGTAAAGGAAGGGAGGATTCCAGGCTGACGGTTCAGCCGCTCCCGCAGTGCTCTCGGCTGAAGGGCGGCAAGAGATGTTGTTGAGCAATACCCAGCAGCGTCAGGTACCGGCTCGTTTCTAGGAGGTAGGGGAGACTGGCCCAGGGCTAAAGTGAGTATTTTCTGAATTACTAGAAAGCAAAAACGAACGTCAGCTGACCACGCTCTGCGTTTCTGAGTCTGCCGGAATGTCTGGAGTCATGCAATGTTTTTATTTACTGTAACGTGCTACAAACAATACCTGTGTTTTCCTTTCCTAGTTTTGTAGAGATTGGATGCAAACATTTCAGTGCTTTTTCCCATTCTAGCCAGGGTCATCCCAAGTGCAAATCTGAACATTTCATGGAGAGGGAGAACCCAGCACAGCTTAAGGATGTCTTTCTAATGCCAAGTATTGCAAAAGCTCCTCCTTTACAACTCTATAAACATAGTTCAGTTGTTCAGTCTACACATTGAAACACAAAAATGGGCTTTTCCGTCAGGCCTGCTGCAGAGAGCCTCTGTAAATGCCATTTACTGAATTGGTATAGGCATCTATTTATTAAAAAAAAAAAGAATCTGAAAAGGAACAACTTTCAAGTTCCAAATAGTTACAACAATCCCAAGGCCCCTATTTTCCAGAATATTTTTAAGCACCTACCCCATGGCTGTCTACCCTCTCACACACTCCTTTTCTACCTGGTGTCCTCTGCCCCCCCTTACTTATTTGTGCATTTCCTTTCAACACCTTCCATGTCCCCCCACTCCAAAGCATTTGCTCTGCTTATGCCAATAAGTTAACCCAGTTTGGTGTCAGTCTCCCATTACAGATCTGTCACTGCGTGCTTTTTCCACTGCCTAGATGAGCACTAAAACTTGGGCCGACAGTCAGTCTTTGCCTTCCCAGATGGACCTTCTGGAAGAGAAGAATCAAACTGAACAGTCCATTCTGACCTACTCCAGGCACCTACGTCAGAACGAGAGTATCTGGCATTAGCCACTGACAGCTCTGAACTTTTCCAACAAACGTAATGTTGTCATGCACAAAGGCAGGCAGATGAAAAACATGTTATTGTCTTTAAGTAAGGGCTAAAGTTCCCTGAGCTCCTGTTAGGTGAATAAAAGTAGGTAGTGTTCTAAAGGAACTGGGCAGAGTTCCTATCACTATCCTATTCGTCACCAAGTTATGAAAGCAAAGGACACTCAAAACCTCAGAAGAAAGCCTTTTTATTTCAGGAGACAGGGAGATCTGTTGTCCTGGAAAGTTAAACGAAAAGAAGCATTATTTGCTAAAGCTCCTTTAAAATTTACATTCATAGCTGCATGAAGAGGTGGCAATCAAACACCTGTCTGGTCATGCCTCTTAATTAAAACAGTTTTCAAACAGCAGAAGAAAAAAGCCTCTGTCTCTTAGTGAGGCAGAAACTCACCTATAATTCCAATGAACGCAAGGATAGGGTGACTGTCTGATTTCCCGCTGACTTCAGAGTTTTGTTGAACTAGTTGGAAAACGCATTTTACGTCCCTTTGCAAATTACCTGAACTACTGTCTCCGTGAAGCGTTTGCTTTGCAGCCATCTGGCTGTGGCCTGGCTCTGAACTATGTGTGATACAACCACGAAGACCAAATGTCCAAGGAGGCACTAACACTACTGTAGCTCCCATCCCTGAGTAAGTGCATAACACACTTGAAAAAGTCTTTTAAGACTTTTTTTTAAATGGCATTTAGTAAAGAAGTAGTAGGAGAGATAACAGTGTACTCTAACTCTCTTTTTAAGCCAGCTGTCAATTAATGCCACATGCATGAAAATTCCAGCCTTTAACGACCTCGATAATACTTTTACAGTCTCTGTTCTTCGATGCTATTTTGTATCACGTGGTGTAGCCCCATCAGCCTGCCTGCACAGCTTGATGATCCTCATTGTGCCAACCCTACTGCCCCAATACCAGCCCCAGACATACAACTTCTGCTACATCAGAACTAAGGCTTTCCCAAGGAAAATGTAATGACTGCGTTTGTGGCTTCTGAGGTAAGCAGAAAACAAATGCATGACTTTGTCAGAGCCTTAAAACTTCCTGCAAGTAAAATTCTGTGAAATATTTGAAGCTCTGCGCTCAGCGCAGGAACCCTGTTATGCCATTTTAGAAGAAAGGGAGAGATCAGATGAGTAACGTTGGATTTTCCAAGTTTTCGTCTATGCTCTAAACCACGTATTTCTAACAAACAGGTGTGTAAATTCTTGCCACATGTAGCAATCCGCTCCCTTTATTTCTATAGGACTAGTAAATATTTGTGCTGCTGAACCAAAGCATGAGCATCTCTAAGCAATTTTAACCACAGGTAAACGTTACCTGGCTTACCACTGTACAAGTCCATTATATTAAGGTCTTTCCTAGTAACAGCCCAGTGGAAACAGGTTTTCGTAAAAATGATTCAACGTAAGGATAAAAGTGCAGTGCTCAAATAAGTCAAAAAGTGAAGGAAAGGGCATGCAACCACAACGTTTTGGTAGTAGTTACATGTTTCGATATGAGACCTCAGTTCTTGAGGAGATTTATTTTCTTTTCTAAGGTGAAACCAATCTCATATTTATATAAACATTAAAATATTAAAATGTGTGTGTCCTACCTGAGACCAGCTGCACATCAGAAAGTTTCAGCTTAGAAGGAGGTCTTGTTGGCTGATACACTTTGCCTTCCTGAGAACGTCCTTTAACAAACAATATGAACAGCTCTGTTTAGTCACGTAAAGATGTGGTTATGTATAGCAATAACTATTTAAGTAGGCTACAGCATTATTTTATCCTAAAGATTATTCTCATTTATGATGAGGAAACTCGTGAGACATTCTATATGACAGAAAATTGTGATAATCACAACTGAACTTTAACTAAAGATAAAATATATCTAGCAGTTGCAATAAAACAGAAGCAAATAAAAATTATTAGCTTGCTTTATGTATTTGATCCTTTTTGGCTGTCTAAACTACAGAGCCAAGACAGAAGTGACTTACCACCTGGTAAGGTACATATAGTTAAGCACATCCTTACTCCCATCAGTGATCCACACTGTAAAGGGAACTCTAAGTTTAAAAGCAGTGATCTTCCTCTACCCTTGTCTTCAAGACACATCCCTTTGCACCGTGCACACGCAGGCATAGTGCAAAGCAGTGTTACTATAAAAGATGATCTTGCTCTTGCAATAAAGACCAGCTGTCTTCAAACAAAAAAGCTACTAAGATGGAACAAGATCATATTCCTCAAATGGAAATATTTAAAAACCAATACAAAGCCCCAAAAGTGTAATGCTTAAAAAACATTAAACCGTGATCCAGATGGCCACTGTGCATCGATACAGCCATGTATCCCCCAGTTATCTGCTCTATTCTCTTTCCACATTGACATATGTGAGCAGCTCTGGCAACAGAATTATCTGGTTGCCCACAACCCGTGCTGGAACAGTGCTACGCAGTGCTTCAAACAGCTTTACCAGCAGCCATTTTAAATCACACAGGGGTTTGTGGTTTGGTTTTTTTTTTTTCAATCTGAAACAGAAATACAATTACCCAGAACACGTGAGACTCAGAGTAATTTTTATAAATAGTTGAAAACCCTAACAATTAGGTACGAAGTGTATAGAAGAATACTCTGTTATAAAAATAAAAGTGTAGCTATTTAAAATAAAGTACAGTGAAGACAAAATTACCATATATCTGCTTAAGGATGGACTGCTTGCTGTTTTTTATGGCTGAGCTGGTTTTGTTTATAGATTTCAGATTTTTACATGAAGGAGCTGATTTCAGAGGGCTATGGTTCAGCTGTTTCTTCCAAGCAACCTGAATGAAGAAGGCAGCTGTCTCTTGTCTCCATTTGTCTTCATCTTCTTTGCACTGCCGCTTAGCACTAAGAAGCTGAAACAACTCCTGTCTTAGCTGGTAACTAGAGAGCAGAAAAGAGAAGAGCACTTGTTTTAGGTGACCTGTTTTAACTTCGGTGCTTTCCACGCATCAGTTCACATGGCGGATTACATGAGTAACTAGGAAAACAGAACTCCCACTGATGTGCTAAGTCATTGGGATGAGAAATGTTTGGTTCAATTCTGGATGCATCTGTTATTTCACACAGTTAATAAAAAGCTGGCATTACAGGTATCAAAAGTTACAGTGCTGCAACATCAGCTTATCAACTGCTTTATAATATACAGAAAATCTGAAGAAGACAACACTTGTAATTATTTATGATATAACAGTATAATCAATACTGTTGTCTAATTTTCACTATATTCACAGCTTAGTAACACCAAATTTTCTCATGTGCCTTACCACTTTGTATTCTCAGTCAATCAGTGCAAGAGGTGAGCCAAATCTACCTCTTATGAGTTCAACTGCACATTTCCTCTACAGAAAACTGAGCTGTTTTCCATCCCTCCTCTGAAGATGCTCCCCTCACTTTGTTTTCAGCAATCTTCTTGCTTTTTTTCCCTTCCCTTCAAAGGCTCCCCATCTCCCAATCCAACCTTGCCACAGCTGCTTTGATCTTACACACAGCCACAGCCTTGTTCCAAGTGGCAACGGTGGATTACCTGTCCTTCTTTCCACTTCAGCAGCTAAAGGCACCAGCAACAAGGAGTTGTTTGTTTTTTTCTTGAATCAGAAGTATTCAATCAGATACTGGCATTTCACACTCACAAGTCAATTAACTGGCCTAGCAATTAACTCTGAATCTTCCCAGTACAAACCTGTCACAAATGAACATGAACTAACACTTGTAAAATATTAATTATAAGTGTTTGGTAACAGGCCAAAACACATTGATCATCATCCCCTCCAGCATTCAAAAAGCCTTCTACTGGATGCCCCAGTAAAGGGAATGAGGAAGGACAGAGAAAGAGGTGATTTTCTTCTGTTGCTCCATCTGCAACAAGTTCTAAATTAAGAGACAACACAATCAGATACAAATTGTTTAAATATACGTTACAAGCCAATGAACTATATAATTCAAACAAAACAGCAGCCGTACACAGAAAATGAGTACATAAAAGCACAATAGAATGCCAAAGGGGAATGGTATGCTCAATTACAGCTCCAATCATTCATTTTAAACTTTCAATAAACTTAGTAAATGACGTCTGTGAAATTTGCCGGGTGAAATACCTGGATTTAATCTTAATTTAGTGGAGCTTCATAATTCAGGCATGTACTGTTACACAGCTCATTAAAATACATAACAAATGTGAGGAGCAGCTGCACCTTACCAATAAATGTCCGTGGGGCTTGCAAGTTGCAAAGCTCTGTATGAATTCGGAACAGGAGCATTAAGAGACAGAAGAAAAAAATGATCCAGTTTTGTTAAATAACATGTCACTTAGAACTTTTCAACAGGGTAAGAGAGGAAGAGAAACTGAAGGGAGGGGAACAATTACGGTGACTTGCTAACACAACTTGAGCTAAGGATGGGTTATGTGAATACTGCTGCAGGAAAAACAGTCGGGGAACTGCTTTATACTTGAGCAGAAAAGAATACTAAGCTATTCTCTTGGAATTTGGCAATTACTGCCAGAAGCCTTTGCTGACACGTGAAATGACCCATTCACAGGCACTTCACCTTTGCACTCAGCTGTGATTTCACGTTTGTAGAGAACTTCTGGTAGTTTTTAGCAACAAGAAAACAACTGTGACGCTGTGACACTGAGAAGATGTTGGCAGTTCTCTTTAGCACACGTGCACATTTTTTTAATTCAGCTCTCCCGGAACAGACTGTTCTGATTCTAGTGAGAAAAAAGAACAACAGCGTCGAGTTTGATGCTCTACGTATCTGATGTGCTGCCTTAACAAAGTACCCAATGCTTACTTAACAAAGCTACTGCACGAAAAAGAAATGTGGAATATATCTGCAGAATGACGAAGCTGGCAAATGGTATTCAGATTCATTGTTACTAATCTTAAAAACCACTGTTGGTCAAAGTATGCAAATCACAATAATATATACAAAAAATTAGTTTAACTCCAGCAGGAGAGCAACACTGACAGCAACCAACTTATTTCCAGCTTCTGTCGACTCACTGTGGACCCTGGAGAATGGCACAGGCCTCAGTGCCCCCCATGAGAGAGCAAACCAGACACGGAATCTGTAAGCCTCAACGAGCAGGATAAGCAATTAACCTTTGGCAAGCCACACACCTTGAAATACCCTTTTGAGGGCTACATTTATAAAGTTCGTGGACTGTGGGAATTGAAACATTTTCCCAAGAAAGGCAAGTCTAATAGACTTAAGTAGACCAGTACCATTGTGTTGTAGCTCAAAATAGCTCTCAATAAATTTCCAGTAAGTAAACCATGACTATAAAATTTGCAGTGAGATAAATGTATTTAATCCTAATTTAGAGAAATGCCAGAACTCAAGTATGTAATTCTACATGTTTGTAATGTAGAATGATACATTAACAATGTATAATTCTGTTGTTGTCTACAGGTACATGCTATTTACCAGTGCAAGCCTGGACCCAAAAGACAAACACAGGACTGAGTGGGACCCACAGCCACACAGCAGGCACCTGCTTAAGAACTTTAATTCGGAGTATAATGGATGGGAAATTAGGTATTCCAGAGAGAGTGCCAGAATAACTGACATATTAGTAGTCTGCACATACAGCAGCCTAGTGTGAGCTAGCTGGAAATGCTAACCATGACTTCTTCTTGGCAGGCAGGTGCCACCATCTGACTTGGGATCCACATCCTGAAACACCCACGCTGCCTCTTTCTTTTGAGATATATATGAACTGTGCTTCAAAGGAAGAGGCAGAACTCTCTTCTTTTTAAAATATAAACATTATTGCTGTGGTAGTAGCATGGAAATCAGGAGGAGGAAATATGGTCCAATTTCACAGCTCTCGTCATCCACATGAGTTTCAAAACGCTCAGACAATAAAGTTCATGTTGAGCTTGAAGTATAAGCAGAAAAGACAGCAGAACTGGGGGGCCTAGGAGACAGAGAATGCAGGAGGGAAGCTCGGCTCTTCACAGCCGTGCAGTGCCCTCACCTCAGCGCTGCTGCCCAACGAACTGTTCTGCGTTCTGCATCGAAACATTCATGGAAACAAACGCGTTATGATGCTGCTGCAAACTTTCTGAACTCCGCCAAAGCTCTAGCAACACTAAACTCTCCGCAGAGGTAATGAAGCAACAGTGGAGGAAATGCCAAACTATTCTCTCCTGCAGTCTTGCAGAATTTATGATCCTCGTTAGTGTTCTACAAAATATGAGTTTTGCAAACAGAATAAATATATGTATTTTTCTTTATTAATTCTTTAGATAACAAATGTCATTTAAATAATCTTTAATCCCCACAATTTCCCAAGTGGTGTAAGTAAGTGCATCCACTTCTTGATGAGGTAGCACACCCCTGCTGTTTCAGCAAGTGGACAGTTTAGAAAGATCTATCCGAAATCTTTACATAGTCGAAACTGTAATTGGAATGCAGAGATTCCTATGTAGTTAAGCTAGCTTGACACAAAGCTTTAGAACCCAATTCTTGTGAGGAAATTTGCACAAGCACTCACGACACATTTTTACGCCTTGACTGAAAGCTATGGCATGCACCTACCCCGCTGTGAGGATTTTAATTTTGTGTTAAGTGAAAACAGCGCAGCCTTCAGAAGAATAGGCATCGCTTACGGATATACTCTCCTAACCTACTCCTGACTTACTTTAGCTTTTGATATCTAAAAGGGTCTGAACACATAAAACAAGAATTTGGAATCTGAATTAGAAAGGCAGCCAAGGAGGACATTGCCAGCACTGAGCTGCTTACATAGCATTTGGAAAAATTTGGGAAGGCAGGTAATATTTATTCAGCCTCTGAATGGAGTGTGACGGATGCACTCAACCCTTAACCAAACCAGTGGTAGTTTGGTACAGGCTCCAAAGGCAGTAAAGGCCTGAGCTGCAGTCGGGCCAAGAACTCCTCTAGTTCCAACCTGTTCTCCCCATTGGTGACAAACTGGCAAGCCAGGCATTCATGTACATGAGCTTGGAACACCGATCATGCGATCAACACACAATCACACGATTAACACATGAATCCAGGGTGGCTATTTATGAGCTCATTTATCAAGCAACAACGCTGTGGGTACAAGGAGTGTCATGCACACCTTTTCCATCACATGTAATTTGACTACAGGCCAACCACTTTATTCCATAAATATGACAGCCTCAGTGAGCCTTACTTGAGCTCTTGCTGCTAGGCAGCGTAGCTGCATGGCAGCCATTTCCCCTGGAGCCGGGACACCTCTCAAGGTTGCTCCTAGAGGCAGAGAGACCTTTTACCAATGGCAGATCTTTGGATAAGTCCAACTTGAGCTCTCCCCGAACTGCAGCTGGACTGCATGCCAGGTGAGTCTCCCCTCAAGCAGGGACGCCTCTCAAGGTTTGAGATTCCTTACCTGAGACTATGAGATCGTTCCTTGTCCAAGGCGGAGAGATTACTTGTGACAGATCCTCAGTAAGTGACTGATAGAATGCTGAATTAAGACTAATGAAACATTACTAATCCCTGCAGCTTCTCAATTAGTATAGATAATTCCATTAGACATAAACCATTGTCCAAATCTGAGACTAAGATTGGACCTAGACACACCTAGGCTCTGTACGGAATTTAGAAAGCAAAGGGGTTCACTCTGAACCTTGTGACTCAACGGGAGAGTCTTCCTTACCCTTTGCATCTCTGGTCGCTGTGTGAATCATCCTACCTCGATTCAAACTCAATTTTCCTTCGTCTGTTTCTTCCATGCAGTGATTAATAGAGTGAACCTTGCCATCAAACATTAAGTTGCACTTTTACAACATCATATTAAAACCACTTTTGCTAATACCTTTGATGGTGATTCTTTAAGCAATCTAAATCACTCATTTCACGACAGCAACACCAGAGAGAGCTGATGGCAGAAGTGGTGGATTACTGGGAGAACAAGCGGCTGCTTTGCTTTGCAGTTCAGTGCAGGTATGAGGAATACAGTATAGAAACAAAGAACCACAGAATGGTTTTGCTTGGAAGGGACCTTCAAAGACCATCTAGTCCAACCCTCCTTCCATGGGGAGGGACATGTTCAGCTGGATCAGGTTGCTCGAAGCCAGCTTGACCTTGAACATTCCAGGGATGGGGCATCCACAACTTCTCTGGGCAACCTGTTCCAGTGTTTCACCACCCTCATCGTAAAAACTTTCCTCCTTATGTCCAATCTAACTCTACCCTCTTTCAGTTTGCCCCATGTCCTGTCACTACAGGCCTTGGTAAAAAGTCTCTCTCAGTCTTTCCTCTAAGCCCTCTTTAAGTACTGGAAGGCTGCAATAAGGTCTACCCGGAGCCTTCTCTTCTCCAGGCGGAACAGCCCCAACTCTCTCTGCCTTTCCTCATAGGAGAGGTGTTCCAGTCCTCTGACCATTTCTGTGGCCCTCCTCTGGACCCACTCTAACAGGTCCATGACTTTCTTGCACTGGGAACCCCAGGACAGGATGCATAAATAGCAAACAGAGGGCAAAGACAACAGAAGTACAGAAATAAGTGATTTTGTACAAAAAAAAAGTCAGAATTTTCACCAAAAAAAGAGGCTCCAAAATGAATTTAAAATACCACATTCCAAAGTTTTGACTTTTCACTGGAATAGGAACGTACACGCAAAAGCCAGCATGACTTTTATACTCCAACAACAGTGAAGAGAGAACCTGGAATATTACTGGACTGTGCATCCAACCTCATGCTTGGAAACATTTAGACTGATCAGTGAAAGAGCTGGAGCAAACACAAGTGTTTGCTGAGCCAACGCAAATGTTTAAATGGCCACATTTCAGTTTAGGAACAAACGGACTGCTGGCTTGGGCCATGGGGCGTCTGGTCTGGTGTCCCTTCTCTAGTAACAGGCAGCCTCAGCCCTTTCTGAGAAAGACAAGACACTTTGCACTTTGCAAGTTAACTCTAAAAAGCAATGGGAGAAATACGGTTCTCAAAACTCCACAAACAAGTGGCTAGTAATACTTGTCTCTTAGCTCTCTGATGTTTCATACAACAGAGCACACAGGTAACACTCCGTCTTGCAAAGTAAGAAACGGGATTTTTTAAGCCTGGAAGCACCACTGAAAGCAAGCAGCACAACCTCATGCCTCTTTTTTAGCTTTCCAGAGCTACACGTTACTTGGCGAAAAGATTTTTCCTTGTGGAAACATCAGGCTTCTACAGTAACTGTTCAGAAATGTTCTCCTTTAACTTTTCATCCTGGTCTGGCTTGATGCAGCCCAGAGGACGTTACTGGAGTGGCTGAACAGCCCAGGCTGGCTGCCTCACGCGGCTGGACACGGTGACAAAGAGAGCAGGTCCTGACGCTCCAGCTGCTGAGTGCTCCCCTCTGCTCCATGTGGATGCAGTCGCTGTCCTGCACTGGGAAGACTAGTACTTGGCTCCTGGAACAGTGGGGGGAAGAAACAGCCCTGCTGAATTCCTCCCCGAGGGAACCAAAGCTTCCAAGCGCGAACCAGAAGAAGGGAGGTCTACCAGTGACTCAGCATTCACTCTGCAGGAAGTTGGGCATTAGGACCTGTTTCTGCTGTTCCAGGAAAATTGCAGCTTACCCAGGGACTAGTATAAAGGACGTTACTACCCTCTATATGCTCCCAGAGATCTGCCAGCTGCTCCCTTTGATAGTTTGGTTGAGGGAACAATTTTTGCATCACTACTGAACTATACCATAGGGTGTGAGAGTCAAGTTCTCAAAGGAACTTCCTTGTTATTTTTTCTTTAATTGAATCCTAAGAAATACTAAAACATATATGAAACTGTTCAGCTAGTAAGAGACCTAGAAGGATCAGTTATTAGTAAAAATTGGCAATTTATAGTTTTCTGCATCCACAGAAAAAACTGAAGAAAATGTCAAAAAAAAATAGGAAATTAGAATTGTGTACATTATATTCTCCACCTACAGCTGCCATACTCTTCCTGTCAATTTTGATAAGCAAATAAATATCAAGGAACGCATATATCAAGAATAACTGTATTTTTGAGGTTGAAACTCACGCATTCACAAAAAAAACCAAAACAAACCAAACACTTTGGAAAGCAAACACTGAGAAACCTCACACTCTCCTGTCTGCCTCTTCTGTACAACAGTTGCTCCTGCTCAATCAAGTTATTCAAGTTAGCTTCAAGTTTTGGCAATGAACTTCCAAGGCTTCCAAATCTCTGGTGGTTTGGTTACCCAGGTGTGTTATCCACAATTTCAGATGTGTCAGTAAATGGTGGTGAAGGATCTGGTTACAAAAACTTTTCAGGAAAAACTCTGTATCCCTACATGTGCAAGTTTGCTAATGAACATGCCAGCAGTGAACTCCAGGCTTAGGCAAATCTCGATTGGCACTCTCTGAAGAAATATCTGTGTTTGAAATAGAGGTTTAATAACTTCTCAAATTATTGAAAGTCACCACTTAGTGACTTTCAATAATTAATAACTTGCACTTTTATTAACTTACTAATGTAATTCTGTGTGACTGGAACCCACTTCCACTTATTTGGTGAAAGATTATGAAGTTCTTCATTTATCACTGGTAATGTTATAAGCAAAAGGACCAAAGAAAGCACACTGCCAACAAGCCTGATTTAATTTACATCTACTTGCGTCTCATTCTTCTCTAGCTACTGAAATAGTAGTCTTACCTTCTCCATGTCCTCTGGATGACTGTGGCAGCGTAGTTCTTCTTCCGAAACAGCTCTTTTCTTTTTCTTTCTTTTTCTATAATCTGCATTCGAATCTCTAAAGGGATTAGTTCAATATTCGTACTTTGCCACGCGACAGAACATAATTGATCATCTGCATTCCTGGATCCAATTATGCCTGTTTTTTCCAAGTTCAAACTGTCATCAGGAGCAGAACATGCTGCTGGGTTTCTTGGCACACTTCCCATAGATTCTGCCTCAGCCGACAATAAAGGAGAGGCCTTTTTTGCTAACTCGTTATTTCCCACTTTGTTACTTTGTTCTACAGCATGCACGCTGTCATTTCTGCTGTTTACAAATACCGTTTTGGCACTTCCTGGTCTACTAGAGCCAGCTGGGGAACATCGCTCATCATTTACCTCTTTATTTCTGGATTTCTGCTGATGCCTTTTGCCTTTGGAAGCAGCTTCACACTGCTTTGAATTTTTCACAATTCCACCAGTACAACCGACGTTGCAGAAGAACACAGCCGTTCCTTCACAGTGGTCCCTTTTGCCAGATGAAGACTGACTCTGATCTCTTAGCTTCTCCCCACCATTAGCAGTCCTACAAGCAGAAGCATGCCTTCTGCTCCTTCGAGCACAAGTACCCGCTGCCTCAATGGTGTGCTCCTTGTGCTTTTCTCCACCCGGTTCTGTAGCAGCCGCAACTTGATGTTTCACTTCAACTTTTGTTCCCTCTTTTGCTTTGCCACAATCGAAATGGACATAACTTGGCTTGCTTTTGGTGTGTTTCCTCAATGAATCTTTAGACAGAGAAATGGAAAACAACATTCAGTCTCTGATTCAGAAAAACATAGTTTATGTCTTTAATTTTTTCACTCAGTGACCTTTGAGCCACACTTGGGATTTACTTAAATGAAGAAAATATATAAGCAGGAAGAATGAGAAAAGGACATGATTGGCTGTAACAGTACAGTCCCAAAATTCTTCATTTGCTCACCATTCCACAAGTATTTTTCTTTCTCACATTATGTTTGAGTTAGATGCCTAAAAAAAGTTCACAGGAAGAAACTATTTCTTCATTTACCTGAATACACTGGTGTTCTCCAAAGAAACCAGCTCACCATGTGGCGCA